TTGGCGAAGCACTCAAAGTCCAATTGTCTTGTTGTGGATCAATGTAGACAAAGCGTTTTCCCTCTTTATCTATGATACCTTGGGGAAGTTTGATAGCAGCGAACCTGTAAGAGACTGGTCCAATAATGCTTCCTAACTGGAACATCTCCAAAGAGGCATTTACTGACCAATCCACATCCTTTCCGTCCATATCCTTACACCCCAACTTAGCATTGGTGCAGCTCACCAAAATAAGGAATTGTAGATAAAGCCAAAGCATTTTGATCATCTCTTAAGTTCGGAGTTTAAGAAAGGTATAACATTCTTCCACTAGAACTCAACATCATTAGAAACTGAGGAAAAACATAATAAGGAAGTGTTGTGATATAATTAGTACTTGATCAGAACGCGTAGGCTCTTTTATAGGGAAGATAATCCATTGAGAGTTCACAATACACTCGTATAGAATTTGTTTTTCATCTCTTTTGTTTTAGATAATATTTGCACATACATACTAAAAAAACTGTCAGTGAAGCACAACTGTAAAACTCTCAAAAAAGTCATTGGTATGTAAGAAAGGTATGTAGCACCATTGGAATACTTCAAAGCAAAAAACCGTCTGTATGTAAAAATGTGGTGGATGCAGTTGGCATTTTCTGATTGTAATATCTACCATTTTGGCAACACTTCCACACATTGTTCTTCGAGAAATAAGCTTTTGCTGTAAAAAATTGTACGAATTTAAACATTAGCTTTTTGCATTAAACGTAGCGTGGCAAACATAGGACATTGCAAAGTGAACGTCCAAACGGTAGCTTCAGTAGAAGTCTTTCTTACCGTATGGAACTAACTGTGTTGTGCTTCATAGTACCGGTTTTGATGTCTCCCGCTTTTCAATCATCTCCTTCTTTCAAATGGTAGTTTTCTATAAAGCGTGTTAGACAATTTCTGAGATTACACTATACAACTCCCTTGTTTACTACTCAAAATCTGGAAAACATATTGCGTAATCATTCTTGAAAGTTTTCGAAACTTTATTGCTAGAAATTTCAAGGAACCTTTACACTTATATAATACGCAATCTATCTTCAATAATTGTAGCTTATTTATA